AAATTAAGGAATGTTTAAAATTCTTGCATCACGTGTGTCTAATAATTAGGACACTCACTGTCAATCATATTTTAAATTAATATTAAATTTGTCTTCATATTTTTTGGGAAGGGGAAACAAATAACACATGTATCCTTCAAAATAGTGGTGGATGCAATTATCCCAAAAGTGAAAAAGGGTCTTATGTTCAATTAAAAATTTTTTTTCAAGACTCTCAATTGGATAAACATAGAGAATTTAGTATCACTATTAATCAAAATGCTGAAAAGTCAGTCTGATATAAAAGGTTTAGTACTGAACTGGTACTAGGGACAGCCAAGTCAAGTCTGGCATCATTAGGTGATGTAGGACCAATCAGTATTTTTCAGCCCAGCCTATGGCACAAGATAGTTCTTGTGGGGAATGAGCAACCATCTGTTATTCCATTCCTCCTCTTTTATTTGCATCCTTGCAAATAACACTTGCAACAATTTGGAAATGATTGTTTAGAATGAAACAACAGTTAGTTAAGAAAATAACTTTGTGCCTACTTAACATATAAGTTGGAATTAAGATTGCCGGGAGAAATATCAACAACCTAAGATATGCAGATGATACCACTCTAATGGCAGAAAGTGAAGAGGAACTAAAAAGCCTCTTGATGCGGGTAAAGGAGAGTGCAAACGTTGGCTTGAAACTCAACATTAAGGAAACCAAAATCATGGCATCCGGCCCTCTCAATTCCTGGCAAATAGATGGGGAAGAAATGGAGGTAGTGACAGATTTTATTTCCCTGGGCTCCAAGATCACCTCAGATGGGGACTGCAGCCAAGAAATTAAAAGATGCTTGCTCCTGGAAAAGCTATGGCAAATCTAGACAGCATACTAAAAAGCAGAGACATCACCCTGCCAACAAAAGTGCATATAGTCAAGGCCATGGTTTTCCCAGTTGCAATGTATGGATGTGAAAATTGGACCATAAGAAAGGCTGAGCGACAAAGAATTGAGGCCTTTGAACTATGGTGCTGGAGAAGACTCCGAGTCCCTTGGACTGCAAGGCGTTCAAACCGGTCAGTCCTAGAAGAGATCAACCCCGACTGCTCTTTAGAAGGCCAGATCCTGAAGTTGAAACTCAAATACTTTGGCCACCTAATGAGAAGGAAAGACTCAATGGAGAAGGGCCTAATGCTGGAAAGATGGAGGGCAATAGAAGAAAGGAACAATAGAGAATGAGGTGGCTGGATGGAGTCACTGAAGCAGTAGGCGTGAGCTTAAATGGACTCCAGAAGATGGTAGAGGACAGGAAGGCCTGGAGGAACGTTGTCCATGGGGTCGCGATGGGTCGGACACGACTTCACAATTAACAACAACTTATTTTTGCACCCCAAAACAAGGCTGCAAAATAACAGAGTTGCAAGAGACCTTGAACATCTTCTAGTCCAAACCCCTGCTCTCTTCCCCTGGCTGTCCTCCCTAAAAACAGAAAAGAGTTCAGTGTCAGCATATGCTAATACCTTACACTACAGAATTACATACGCATACTTCCAAAGAATGCAAAATACTACTAAGTTGTTCAATAAGCCCATTGAGACACACAGGATCTTTTTGTAGATCAATGCTTTGCCATCAATCACTTCATGGAAATGATGAAAAATTCAACTACACTTCTAATAATTTTATTAACTATACTAGAAGCAATTATAGAGGTCATGAAATATTTATTTTGCAGTACTATAGCTTAAATCCTGAACACATTTCACCCACATTTTCACTCTAAGAACAAGAGTCCTGCAATCTGCTTGAATTATTAACATTTTAATGATTATAGTGTGGCTTTCTGTTGTACTTATTCTATTGAAATCACAAAGGGAACAAATATAAAGCCAGCTAACAAGGTAATGTCCCATATCCTCAAGATGTGATACAGGTTCCTTCATGTAGAGGAATACTTTATTGAAGATAAAGTATTCCTCAACTTATGGCTGTAATTGAGCCTGGAATTACCATCATAAGTTGTTGCAGTCATAATTTGAGGCATCATGTAACCAGATTTAAAGTTACAATTGTTCTTACGATGGTCATTAAGCAAATATAGTAGTCGTTAAGCGAGCCCATTTTCCCCAACTGACAAAAACATTGCAAGTCACAATCACATGACCCCAGGAGGCTGCAAACAGCTGTTAAGGTGAACTGGTTGCTAAGAGCCCAAACACAACCACATAACCACAGGGTGAGTATGCCCATTGTAACTGAAAACGGGTTATAAGTAGGTCTGGGATGTTGCTTGTAACTTCAAACGATTGTTAAGCAACCAGCAGTAAATTGAGGACTGCCTATAACTGCAATCTAACCAAACAATTAAGGAAAATCTATATTAAAATATTAAGACACCCAGATATTCCATATATTGTCCCCAACTCTTGAAAATAAAATTCCTACTTTTACTCATGACAAATATATTGGGGATTAAGATGGAAAATGCTATCATCAACTGCTTTTTTTTACCAAGCTTTACTGGATCTGTATTATTAGTGGCTTCCTTTTTATTTTATCTCTATATTTTACTTTAAGAAACTAAATGGCATAATTTCTCCATAGGAAATCTTGGGCCATTCTCTAAATGTCATGTAGAAGAAAGGTTTTATAGATTTATCTTGCAGAATTCAAGATAAATGAATTGCAGAATTGCAGAATTCGTATGGACTTGTCATAATACAGTTAATAAACGATGTCGATCAAAATAAAATTAGATATTTAATTAGCAATTATTATCTTGCTCACCCTTCTACCAAGTATCACAAATCAGAAAGGACAGAAGATATAAAGGCTGACAACTTGAAAATTCCAAACACTGATATTTAATTAGTTGTACTATTTAATCCAATGGTGATATATTAAAAAAGAGGTTGATATTTAATTTCCCCAAACAAATAAGAGCAAGTCAGATAGAAGTTACCACACTCTATGAAATCCTGAATGTTAAAATATAGTGTTTTGTTTTCCAAATGCTATCCTGTCAATAGCCAGTGCATTGACTGCTGGCGATAAACAGAAAATGCCTTCAGGGAGTCAGGCAGAATAGATCTATCAATGTGGGCTGTGTGGGCAGACAAGACAAAGTAGAAAACTATTTGTGCTTTTTAATGCAGATATAAAACAAACTTGGTTTTGCACCAGTTCAATAAACAGAAATGATTAACAAGTGCTGTATGTTAACCTTCCCAGTATTATCCTATTTGTCACTGATTTCTGAATTATGTTACAAACTTCTATTGACAATTCAGTAAGTCTGTGAGACCCTGAAGTATAAAATATGACTAAAGAAGCAACAAAAAATTCAATCTTTCACCATTTCATTGGCATTCTCAAAATCTAGTATCTGTGTTTCAAGGATTTCGATGGATCAAAATTCTGATCATCATCCATGGTTGTACAGATTGATAGATGTATCATAAACCCATCTATATAATAGGGATGGAAACATGTTTACTTATTCAAATTGTGTACACTGTCTACACAATTTGAAAAATCCAAGGAACTGGCCTCTGTCATACATTACCACATGTAGATGATTCCCAAAGATAAAGATGATAGCAGAAGAAATAAAAGATCTTGAAGAATATAAATCCTTGCAGAAGTGTCAGAGCAAATGAAGCAAAATATAGACAATGCAGCTAGAGATAGATCATTTTTACAGCTCTTTCTCTTTGTTGCTATCCACAAGAACCAAAATAAAATATTAGTTTTTGTCATATTAACAGCAAATAATGGAAGCCACAAACCATCATTGGCTTATGATTCATAACTAAAGGCAAACTGCTTTTTAAAGGCTAGATTTCATGACCGTAAAGAATGAGACAATGTCAATCTTGGACAACCTCTTCAAGTTCTATTCAGTAAGCTAATGCCTGCGGTCAGTCATATGATGATCTGCCATCCTTACTGACACAAGGAGAGCTTTAATAGAAGCTCTCAGCCCTGTTGACATAAGTTCACTCTTTTTCTCCACCAATGGTACTCTTGGTATCTCTTAATCCATTTCTCCTCCCTCAACCCTTCCATAAATCTACAAAGTGATAAGATCCACAAAAGGACAGAGGCCACACGGGGACAATCTAATAAAAGGTCTCTTTCACTTTCCTATTCCAGATGAAAATCAGAGCCTCAAAACCATACAACAGACCTTCAGGAATAATTCCCAGCTCTCTTTGTAATTCCCTCCTCCATGGTCCATCAGTCCTGGGATGGACCATTGGATTTGATGCCATCTCCTGCAGTGGGGAGTACACTAGAATATTCCATGATTATCAGGGCATTATCTGATCAAGACAGGGGAGCCACGGAGAGTTCCCCAAATTTCCAGAGCATATTGCACTACTCCAAGAAGAAACCCAGATCAGGTGTATGACTACTGTCTCATGTTGGGCTCTATATGACCTGGGTTAGGTCCACAGCTGTCATAATAGCCATGAACTCCCAGGTCCCCTCAGACTCTACTCCCAAGGAAGGCAGATTGAAGTCCCCCCAGTAAATGGAATCAAGGAGCTCAGGCAGACAGGCAGTTACGCAGCAGGGAAGGTTTTACAATAGCAATACTCCTGATAAATTGTTCAGTATCACTAATCCTATGACATTCATGCAATTCTTTAGTTGTATTTAAAAGAGCATCCTGGGTTAAAGACCATAATTTTATATTTTTTGAGCAGCATTTTTTTGTCTTTATTTTTTTTGGGAAAACAAAAGCCATTTCTCACAACAAGATTCGGTGGTTTTCATTTCAGAAACAAATACAATGAATTTTAAACAAATAAATATACGAAGGCTGAAATGGCTCATCCTTGTTGTTTAGGAAAATATTTAGTTTTTCAAATTTTGTCCATTTCTGTGCAGTTTTGGATAGCCTTGGATGCTATGAACCTTGTCCATGCATCTTCATTAATTCTTAAAAGAGTGCTTATGAAATTCAGAGAAACAAATTGATAATATTACTCAATTCAAATTGATAATATTACTCAACCAACCTCTTTCATTTTGTCAAGTTCATTTTGCAGAGCTTGCTTTGTTATTTCTACTTCTATTAATTGCTGTCGTAATTTTTCATTTTCATCTTCTGTGGTGGTGCGTTTTTCTTCCACATTTTCCAGCTCATGATGAAGTCTTACAGAAACATCTTTTGCAACCTAAATGGAACATGATTAGAAACTTACAATACAGCTAATTATAGTCATACAATTATAGGAACTTATATTTAGCAAACAAAAATTGAAATGGCATAGATATTGTATTATAGAAATAAGTAGTTATATTTCAGTTATATTTTAATTCAATTCTGCTATAATATCAATATATTATTTTCCCAGTGATTTAAAAAATGGAAATATTATAGAGGTTCAGTTTGAACATATAGGAATTATTTGATAATTTTTACAAAATTAGAATCAGAACAATGATGATACAACTGAAGTGGCACTGCACTTGGAATTTTCAAATCAAGGACCAAACCCTCTTTTCATTATCACTGGATATAATCTAACCAAAATTTAAATCTGAAATTCTTATCAGTAAAATATTCTCAGTAACAAATTGACCAAGCATATAGATAAGTATTAATTTTAACAGATAAAAATCATTTTATTTATAGATTTAAGAAGCTCTCATATGTATTTATTTTTTACAATGCTTTGCTTCTGGTATACCACTATAAGATGGAATACTTATGAAGTGTGTGAAAATGAGTTGTCAATTTGTTTATTAAATTAGAATATATTGTTTAAAATGTCAATGTATATTTCTCAGATTTAGTGCTTTCGCCACCATACACATTGAACAATACTTCAAACAATTTAATTAAAAGACAATTATCTGTAACTGTAACGCTTGACACTCCCTTCAAAATTTAACAGACTGTTTTCTGATTTAAGTCTAGACCAATTATAATTCATTTTTTAAGAAAAATTGACAGTCCTAATTTTATTCTATCTTGCCCCCCCCCCAAAATAATAGAACATAGCTCAAATTCAAGCTATATTCATGTATATAAACAAAGAAACATGCCATTTTGTAAAGTGAAAGTATCTAGGCAAACTATTTTATTTATCTAGGCCTTCTCTCTTTACCACAATGATCAATGTGGTACTCAGTAGAACTAATTTATGCAAGTCACTGGTGTTACCTAGTTGGGTAATAAAACTTCTTCAAGAAAACAACAAAGCTCAAAAAGCACCAGGAATTCCATGTTTCAGCCCTGAACTATAGATAATTATCTTTCATTGGAATCCAATTATCATCTCATTTTTGTATGCCGTTTGTCAAATTTATCTGTCAAATTTAGATATTACACATCTCACTCTCAGAGTGGCTATGTGTTAGTGACTCTATATTAGTTATCTATCTATTAACATCCAGATAGCAAATTTAAGCCAGACTTACAATCTGGTCAAACACCCATCGTGTTAGCCTCACTTTCAAGAGCACTGATTTATACCTAGGTATGCATGAGAATGCTGTTTTGATCTAGTTCTTCTAGATAAATGCAAAAAAGAAAGTGTTGGAAGCAATCATGAAATTTTTATTTGCCGGAAAGATGCAACTGTGATATATTTGCTTTTCAAAGAGCTAACAATGAAATGCTAGTAATTATCATAAAAATCATTGTCTTGACAGTCTTACTACAAAAAAATCATAAAATTATAAATATGTCTCATTTTTAAAAATATCCTAAAGATATTAAGTTTGGATGCAAATCTGGTTTAAAGAAAACTGAGGAAAAAATCACATTGTATCAAGTAATAGAAAGATCTATGTTCTTGATATTTTGATGAATTAACCACATTTATATTTTCCTATTGTATTAAAGCATTTGTGGTATATTACCTACCTTTTCATATATTTAGATTAGAAGGAACATTTACTTGTCCCAAAAAGTTTAAAAAAAGTTTGATTTGTATATATAGTCACTCTTTTAAATGACCCTTAAGGATCATGGGTCACAGAATCATGAGAACAACTGTAAAAGCAATGAAGCTCACAACACCTGAGGGCTCACTTCCAATTACTGGAAAAGGGTAAATATGCAAGCAAAATATATCTAAAAACAGAGATTTTGCATTTAGGTTCTCTAATTAACAAAATTCCTGTTTTGTTATTGCAAGAAAGCCACGACAGTTTTTTCTGAAAGAGCTCATGAATGTTCTATCTCTTTGCCAACTTCTAACCCAGAGATACCTTCAAGTCCTGCTCCAAACTACGAAGAAGTTCTCCATCAATCTCTCCAGTTTGTGCATAGCGAAGTCTTTTGCGCTCTGCCTTCCGAAGACGATACTGTAGAATCCTACAATTTTTGTTAGCCCTCTCCAATTCATGACGCATTTCCTGTAACTGGCATGCATCCTCTTCAAAAAAGCTGTCCCTCATCTCATCCATTTCAGTTCTCAGCTCATCTATCTCATTCTGGCATCCAATGAGAAGGGGTAGAAACAATATTATACAATGGTACTTCATTGAGGCTTTTTTTAAAAAAAGGAAAATGAGATGTAAGGTAATTTATATGCATTTTATGCATTTTTACAAGGAAATTGAGATTTAAGATCACACAGATGTATCAGTTAATCCCTTATGCATACTGAATGAGTATTCCCATGCTTTGACACCTGTATCATTAATCTATGATAAAATTATAGTAGGTATTAATTTCCAATCTTGGCATCAGAAGTCCAAAGTACGTGTCACGGTTTATCAAATGAATGATGGTAAGCTACTTCTGAATATGTTATCAATAATTGCACAGTATAGTTACATTTTTAAACAGATCTTTTAAACATACTCCTTTTCTCTGCAGCAGAAATAAATTGTGGTGTAAAATATTATGTTCTGAAAAATAAAATAAAATTATATTTTATTCAGTATTCTGCTTAACACACTAGAGCAAGATCGTTTCTCAACATATCAATCATTTATTGTCATAAACAAAAACATGTATGCAGTAATTGAGGAGCATGGACCAGAGAAGCATCACTGAACAAATAATATTTTGTCTTTTTCTATCATAAAAATTACCTACAGAAAATTAGTCTGGGCTCACACTCTAGTAAATCATAAAATGCTTTGTTTAAGTTGGCTTGGAATGTCATCTGGGCCTGGCCATTGTGGCTTGTATTGTAAAGGACCACAATGGTTCCGTGCAATGGATGAGGTCAAGGGAAAAACCCATAGCTTAATAAAACCATCTATTGATCATATCTGAAATGATCAGCTTTTCCAGGGCACCCTTCAGCATCTGTTAACAAGTTTAGGAGGGCAGAAGCCTCATCTCTAGAAAACAGAAAGGGGTGTTTTGTCGACTGATACCTTTCCTGGGCAATACGTGATGGGGGGGGGGGAAGGGCAAATATCGACGCTCATTAATACTCCCCCTCCCCACGCAGCTAAGAAAATAGATGGACGAAGGGCCCTATTGCTCAATTGCACGCCTGTAACGTAATGCGGGTTCTTATTTGAAGAATAAAAGATCCCCCAATCCTCAATTCCGGCTGGGCCACACCTTCCTTCGCCCCCTCATCTCCTCCCCCCCTCGCTCACCTTGAGGGTGTCATTCTCCTCCCGCAGTTTTTCCACCTCCTCCAGCAGTTCCGGGGGACGCCGAGGGTTCAAGTTGAAGACGCCATCCGGGGCCCGACCACGGCCATTGCCCTCTCCGAACCCTCCCGGCGCCATTGGCGACGGAAGGGAAGAGGAGGAGGAGGCCGCGGAGGGGACACCGCCGTCCAGGTCGCCGCCTGGGCTTTGCATCTGGATCGCCGCGCCACCCTTTTCTCGCGACCGAAGGAGAGACGCTCACTTTGCGAGCATCCTCGTGCTTTGCTGCCGCCGCCCACCTCCCACCCACCCCGCTTCCGCCGGGGCCCTGCCCTGCCCTGCCCAGCGAGAAAGATGGAGAAGCCGGGTCGCTTCCAGTTGCTGGGAGACACAGCAGAAAAACAGACAGACACACACACAAACAAACAGAGCCGGCTTTGCCCCTGCCTTCTGGTCCCGAGTGGCGGCTGCGGGGCTGAGAGCTCGACGTCTCTGGGAAGTCTCTGCCGCTTGTCGGCGGCTTGTCCCCTCCCACTCCTCCTCCTCTTCCCCCACCCTCAGCCCCGCCGGGATGTGGCCGTGGCTGCTGCCGCGCCGGTAGAGGGTGCCGGGCAATGGGTTCTGCAGGCAGGCTGCGCCGCCACAACAACAACACAGCTGCTGAGGCGTCTGTGCGCGCGGGGGGGGGGGGGGCGAATTAGCAACTGGGGAGAGGAAGGCTTCGCGCGGTGGAAGGGATGCCCTCGCGGCTTCTCCTTTCGGCGGCTGGAAAGATGGCAGCGGGTCCAGCCAAGACTCCGTCTCCCCCCCCCCCCCCGAGATGCTGGCTGTCGCCGCTTCCCTCTCGAAAAGGCCCGGCTCTCTTCCAAGTCCTGCGCGTCCTCTGAGGGCTTGCGTGGAAAATCACTGCAGTGCCGGGCCAAAACCGTTGTAGAAAGAAACTGCTGAAGTTTCAGCCCCTCAATTTAATCCCTGTTAAGACAACCTGATTTGGACAAAGTCGGTGCCTTTGGTTTTCTTTCTTGTTGCAGGATTTCTTTATATATTTTTTGAACGGAAAGTCTCTGTTGCTCAAGGAACTGATAACAACCTTTCTTTTTATCTTTAAATTCAATTAAAAGAGGGTGAAGCTAGTGTGTTGTAGAGTACCTGCGTCAAGCGTCGACTATCTTTCAAAAAAAAAAAAAAATACTTCCAGGCCCCACATACATGCTGGAGGCAATCTAGATAAATAAAAATGAAAGGGGACTGCATTTCATTGTTTTGTTTTGGAATCCATCTATTTAGTAAAAAGTAGAAAGCAAGATTGATACAGTACTTAGCATTCTAGCATGAGAGAGTTGCTTAGCTTTGTCCATCAGGGCAACAGTTCTTTGAAGATGGCCAACATGCTTGTGATGAGAGTTGGACACCCCCTCCCCAGCCCAACTAAGAAATAATCTAGGAACACCCCAACTAAACTGGGTCAACAGCAGCCTGAGGCTAAAACAGCAAACACTTGACACACACAATGAGGAACCAGCTAGCAGCAATCAGGATTAACACACAACAATAAAAGTAATTAACACCTTTTAGGCAAGAAAAAGGAACTAACAATAGTCACAAACCAGCAAATCAAGAAAGACAAATTTTAACTCACCAATTAGAAATGGTAAGTTTGTTACCAATCAGAAATGACAAGTTTGGAAACCACAAAAGGGTATAAAAACCCCTGTTTAAAGATCACTCTGTCTAGCTAGCCGGGGACTCGAGCTGAATTGTCACTCAACGCTGATCCTCGAAATTAAACCTCTTTCTGGTAGCTGGCTTCACGATCTATTTCTTCTGCACTGTGCCGTCAAGGGGAATCCCGGCTGGAAGGACCGAACGGGGGAGTTCCTCCCAACAATCTGGTGACCACGAAGGGACTTCCAGCTCACCCAGCCACCGGACCGGGCCCGGAAGAGTCATCACCCAGCCGTCAGCGGACACTTTGATCCGTGGGGAAGCCTCCTCGGACCCTGCCCGGTCGGCATCGGGTAGTAAAGGGAGTTTTTGAGTCTTACGCTCGAACAGCTACCAGGAAAGAGGGTAAGTGCCACCAAATTTAAATCTATTAGGTTAAAGGGTCTGGGGGAACGAAAGGAAGAATGCATGAGTGTGTGTGTGAGGCATCCTCCTCTTAGAATCAGCTGGAGCTCGCTCCCTCCGTGTGCCCTCTAGCCGCACCCCGACCTGCTGCTAGCTCCAGTGGAGCCGTGACCGGCGGAATTCGGGAAAGCAAGGGGGGGCATCGGAGCGTGAGACCTTCTGGTGAGAGAGGAGGACCGAGCGGGCAGAGAAAGAGAACCCTATTCTGGGCAAGCCAGGACCCCTTCTGCCAGTAAATATCAAAGCAGTAGCCCCGAGCAGAGATGGCCGCTCACCTCCGAGAATCTGTATTAGGAAAGAAGTCTCGCAAGGAGACTTTGACTGTATTGGGGGAAAGAAGTCTCGCAAGGAAACTTCGACTGTTTGGAAAGAAGTCTCGCAAGGAGACTTCGACTGTTAGGAAAGAAGTCTCACAAGGAGACTTCGACTGTGTTAGGAAAGAAGTCTCACAAGGAGACTTCGACTGTTTGGAAAGAAGTCTCGCAAGGAGACTTCGACTGTTAGGAAAGAAGTCTCACAAGGAGACTTCGACTGTGTTAGGAAAGAAGTCTCACAAGGAGACTTCGACTGTATTGGGGGAAAGAAGTCTCGCAAGGAGACTTCGACTGTTTGGAAAGAAGTCTCGCAAGGAGACTTCGACTGTTAGGAAAGAAGTCTCACAAGGAGACTTCGACTGTGTTAGGAAAGAAGTCTCACAAGGAGACTTCGACTGTTTGGAAAGAAGTCTCGCAAGGAGACTTCGACTGTTAGGAAAGAAGTCTCGCAAGGAGACTTTGACTGTGTTAGGAAAGAAGTCTCACAAGGAGACTTCGACTGTTAGGAAAGAAGTCTCACAAGGAGACTTCGACTGTGTTAGGAAGAAGTCTCACAAGGAGACTTTGACTGTGTAGTGTATAGAAAAAAATAGACTTTGCTTAGGCCCTTGCTGGGAAACCAATTTGGCTAAATAAAGGTACTTAAAAGGGAAAATAAGAAATAGTGATTCTCTCTTGCTGGGAAACCAATTTGGCTAAATAAAGGTACTTAAAAGGGAAAATAAGAAATAGTGATTCTCTCTCTCTCTCTTCTCTATGCAACCACGTGGTATGTTTAAAATATGTGCCTTCCCTAACTTGAATTATCTGAAATTTATGGTGGGAATGAGTAGGATGTGTAAAACTAAGACTTCTGTTCTCTTGTCTTTGTGTATATATGTTTGTCAAAGTCTGTGCATGAGAGGTAAATGTGACTGTTAACTGTTTCAAATCCAAAGGAAAAAGAATTTTAAATTCTGCTAGAAATTCTGCTTAAAATAAGCCACAAGAAGGAAATACCTCACTCTGTTTGTCTGGCCAACAAACAGAGTGAAGAAAAAAAATTGTGTTTGTTTGTTTGTTTTCCTCTTTCTCTCTGTGTACTCTCAAGAACAGCCTTAAGTTACCAGAAAGGATTGCTTTAAGTTTATCTGTTGGAAAAGTTTCACTTGCATTTACTGTGTGTGTTTTATCTATCTTTTTCCTGAAAAATGTGTGTCTATCTACAAGAGCCTTTTGAAACTCAAGTCTGCTTGTGTGGGGAAACAATTTTCCTAAGTTACTTTTCATATCCTATCACTTATTGTTGAAACTACTATGAAGCTTTCTGAAACATAAGCATTTTCCAATCTCTAAAATAATGTTATCTATTTTAGAATAAATGTTAAAGGCAGATTCTCCTGCCCTTGGCAAGTTGCACGTCTTAAAATATTAGGCTTTTAAAATTATTTGGAGTTTTCAGCATTTTCAAACTGCCTGCAAGCTACCCCCCTTCCAATTCTTTTCTTGACCTTTGTTCTCCATACCTTTTGTCTGCCTCTCCTGGTAGAGTCCACCCAGAAAGGGCGGGGGAGACCTTGTTCTTGTATCTTTCAGCCCTGAAACCTTCTCCCAAGCCTTTGGAAGCAGAACACACAGACCCAGATGCTGCCTCCATCCATTTGAGCCATGGAATTGAGTTTTGAATCCAGCCATCCACTAAAAAGCCACCATGCAATCTAAGTGGGGAACATCTTCCCAAGTCCTACCATTTACCCAGATGCCTGTGAGAGCTGCAGCAGGAAGGTGGTGCCATGTGAAGCCTCAGAAGAGAAAATTAGACTATGGGGGGAGGGTGGAAACTCATTGTAAACTTTTATTTCTTGCCCCATTTGTATTGTAACAAGCCAGTTGAATGTATTAGCGGAGAGATGGCACTTGGGAATATGTGGCAGAACAAGTACTGAACACCTTGGACTTCTATCTGGTGGGAGGGAAAATTTATCCAGAATGTTTGTGTTGACTATTTTGTAAAAGTAGCTGCATATACATGCACACACACACAGACACCATTCAGAATCACACTTGAGTCTATCCCCTCCACCTACCTTTAGTGAAGTTCCCCAGGCTGATTTTTGCTCTGTTGCACCAAAGCTTTGAGGGATCAACTTCCAACAGATAACAAGGGGGAGGGAACTAGGCCCCCTCAGGTGATTTGCAATTCATATGCCCTGGCTAAGGAAGCAATAGGAAATCCCAAACTTATGCCCTGAATATTTTGCACTGTTGAGCTCAGATTGGGATTCCTAGAACTCATTATGTGCAATTTAAAGAAAATTTAATAGCCTAGCAGTTGGGCATTACAAACCTGGATGCACTGAATTAAGAGCTAAGGCAGGAAACAACCCTTGAAACTGGGCAGCCAGTGGTCATGTACTAAGGAGAACCATGGCTGTGAAGAATTTTGGGGGGTATGCAAACCTGACTGGAAGCTAAAGGTGACATCCAACATTTAAGAGAACTAGCACAAAACATTGGGCACAACCAGTCATCCTGGAACCTTTCCTGGCTCTTTTCATGGTTACCAGACTTCCATTAGTTGAAAATTCTTATTGGTAGTATAATCACAGTCATAATAGGTGGAGCCCTCCTTTGTTGCCTATGCCAATTAATTCCCTTAGGGTTAAAATGCCTAAAGATCTGCACAACTCCCATCAGGAGCAAGGGACAAAGCAAGAAAACATCTCTCATGATGTGCCAAATTGATCACCACTACCGTATATATGAACCAGTTGGGCTAATCACTGATACATCAGTAATAGCCCAAAATGGGGGAATTGATGAGAGTTGGACACCCCCTCCCCAGCCCAACTAAGAAATAATCTAGGAACACCCCAACTAAACTGGGTCAACAGCAGCCTGAGGCTAAAACAGCAAACACTTGACACACACAATGAGGAACCAGCTAGCAGCAATCAGGATTAACACATAACAATAAAAGTAATTAACACCTTTTAGGCAAGAAAAAGGAACTAACAATAGTCACAAACCAGCAAATCAAGAAAGACAAATTTTAACTCACCAATTAGAAATGGTAAGTTTGTTACCAATCAGAAATGACAAGTTTGGAAACC